GCGGCCGCGCGGTGCACGCCGGGAGGTGTGGCGGGGCGGCCGCGCGGTGCACGCCGGGAGGTGTGGCGGGTCAGCCGCGCGGTGCACGCCGGGAGGTGTGGCGAAGCGGCCGCGCGGTGCACGCCGGGACGGCGCATGGCGGACCCGGACGGTACCGGGGGCGGCGGGGCTGGGACGGGACCCCCTTCACCCCCCCACTGACCCCCGCTGACACCTCCCTATTGCCACCGCAGGTCCCGGTGCCTGCGGGGAAGAGGCGGAGCAGGACGAGGAGTCCCCGGTGAGCGGCCGGAGCCCCCCCCCGGTGACCTTTGGCGACCCTTTGGGGACCCCCCCGGTGTCCCTTTGGGTACCCCCCCCGTGACCCTCCCGTTCCCCCGCAGGTCTCGGACCCTGAGCTGGGCGCTTCGGCCGACGCTGACAGTGGGTCTGGGGGTTCCCGGGGGGGTGGTCCGGGGGCTCATCCTTATGGGGCTTTTGGGGACTCTTTGGGGACACTTCTGAAGGTCTTGGGGACACTGCGGGGCCCTGGGGGACATTATGGAGCTTTTGGGCGTTCTTTGGATCAAGAGTTGAACTTGATGATCTCAGAAGTCTTTTGCAATTTGGTTGGGTTTATGATTCTGTTCTGTGATTCTATGATTTGTGGGGCTTTTGAGAGCTTTAAGAGACCTTTGGAAACAGTCGTGGGGTCCTTGGGGACCGAACCTATAGGGTTTTTGGGAACCCTTTCGAGGCGTTTATGGGGCTTTTGGGGGTCCTTTGGGGGCAGTTTTGGGGCCTTTGGGGACCCTTTGGGGACATTTATGGGGCCCTTGGGGATCCTGGGGCAGATTTGGGACACTGAGTGGCGCTGGGCATCCAGAGTGGCACCTTTGAGGACTTTTGGGGACACTTGAAGGGGCCTTTGTGGACCCCCTGGTGTCCCCCCGGCAGTGGAGCTGCTCCGGACCCTCCTGTCCCGGACCCTCGGGCTCGGGGGGGACAAACCCGAGCGGGTGCTGGACGAGCTGTCCCTGGACGGAGTGAGCCGGTTCCTGCGGAGCGAGCGGTGTACGGGACACTGGGAGTGGGGAGCACTGGGAACGGGGGGCACTGGGAATGGGGACGCTGGGAATGGATGGGGGCACTGGGAGGGAAGTGGGGGAGGAGCTGGGTGGACACACACTGGGAAACCACGGGGGAACCAGGCTTGGGGGCAGTATTGAGGGGTTATTGGGGGGTGGATTTGGGGGCTGACAATGGGGGAAGGAGGGGGCAGTTTTGAGGGGTTATTGGGGGTGGATTTGGGGGCTGACAGTGGGGGGAAGGAGGGAGCAGTTTTGGGATGCCCCCTCACCCCCCATATCTCGTTCCCCCAGGTAAGAACATCGTCTGCATGGTGGGCGCCGGGATCTCCACCTGTGAGTGTGGTTTGGGGGGCTGGGGGGGCCACGGGGGGGATGAGTGGGACATGGGGGGGGTCCTGACCTCCCCGTGCTCCACCCCCAGCCGCCGGGATCCCCGATTTCCGCTCCCCTGGCACGGGGCTCTACGCCAACCTGCAGAGCTACGACCTGCCCTACCCTGAGGCCATCTTTGAGATCAGTTTCTTCAAAGTACGCCCCCTCCCAAATTTCAGGGGGGTCCCGACCCTTTTGGGGCGCTGAGACACCCCTCCAAGCCCCCTGAGACCCCCTTTCCCCCCACAGCAAAACCCTGAGCCTTTCTTTGCCCTTGCGCGTGAGCTCTACCCAGGGCAGTTCAAGGTGAGTCCACCCCCCCAACCCTCATTCCTGCCCCCCCCGAAACTCCTGGGGGGGCTACCCCTCGAAAACACCTCGGAGGGAGTTCAACTGACCCCCAGATCTCGCCCCCCAGCCCACGGTGTGTCACTACTTCATGCGGCTGCTGCAGGACAAGGGGCTGCTGCTGCGCTGCTACACCCAGGTGGGACCCCCATTTGAAGGGGGGAGGGGGCTGGGCAAGGTTTGGGAGACCGTGGGGGTTTTGGGGTCCCCCTGACCCCCTGCCCCCCTCAGAACATCGACACCCTGGAGAGGGTGGCAGGGCTGGACCCGGAGCGGCTGGTGGAGGCTCACGGCACCTTCTTCACCTCCCACTGCCTGCGCCCCTCGTGCCGCCAGCCCTACAGCCTGAGCTGGATGAAGGGTATGGGGGGGCTTTGGGGACCCCCTGGAACCCCCCCAAACACTTGGGACCCCCAGGGCACCCCCTGAGACCCCCGGTTGGGCACTGGGATGGGGTCAGGGGGGTCCCGTCCCCTGCACTTATGGGGTCCTAACAGGAGGCTCTTCTCCCCCAGTGCCCTCCCCGTGCCCCCCAGTCTCTCTGCCCCCCCCC